AGAAAATGAGCCAATGGATGCCTGGGATGCCATTTGACTATATAAACAATCAAACTCTCCGTCATTCGAGTTGAGTGCTGGACATTAAAAGTGACGTGATATGCTTTAGTCACACTACTCACAATCAGCGGTTTTCGTGAATCAGTGAGTGGTACCCGCAAGAAAGAAGATACCCATTTAATGGCGTATACATCGACCAGACGATGAATATTTGCTGGAAACTTGTAACAGGACCAAAAAGCCTAGCAAAACTATTTCCGGCGTATAGGAGCTTCTCAGCAGTACCTCACATGAGGTCCTCACATCAAGTATCCGGAAATTTTCGATTCTTCCCGCATTATGCTTCCAAAACTATTGCTTTTCTCGACATCATGACAAGAAAAAATCACGATAAATCGTGATTATCAAGATATTTTGCACAGATTCTCGGCAAACGTGCGAAAAAAAAAGCTTACCAACGAAAAACTGTAGCTGCTTGAATCGATCCCTGTTCCAAAGTGACAGTACCCAAGGTTGAATTTTCTTCTTAAATTCATTTACTTCATCTTCTGTTTTACCGTTCTTTTGCATCAGCTCAACTACTTTTTTCATAAATGACTTGCAATACGATTTAAAAGTGGCCAAATCTTCATAACAATTCATCTCCTGCAAAAAAAAGCACTGAGCTGTAGACGATGCTGTAAATGAATCCGAAAACGTTTAAGCGAAATTTTGAAGTGCAAACATAAACTTACCAGCTCTTGCTCAGCATCTAATTTCTTGCTTAGCATCATAAACCCAAATAATCCATAACCCCTACTCCCGTCCCCCAATTTCTGTCTCTAAGCAAGATCTCAGCTCCTTTCCAGCCAATATTTCAGCACCTCCCATTGCTATGGGCTTCTACGACTTAAATCAGCACCTCCCATTTTCCCCTCTCTCAGTCCGCTCTAGCCTATCTCACCAATCACGAAGATCTATACCATCACTGCAAGTTGTTCCCCAGCTCAGCCGAATTTTTAATAATTTTCTTAAAAATAGTAGTTTGTTGGGAAAAATGCTGTTTTATGGCCGAAATTTTTTGACTCTTCAAAATACCTGCAATCGATGATTGAGAACAAAATCGATCCCCCGTTCAACAATTTCTTCGCTACCTCCTTCACCCTCATCTTCACCTTCTGCGGATGGATTGGCACCAAGGAGCATAATTTCGCCTTCCTTCCTCACCACTTGACGTCCTTTGAATTCCAAAATTATTCCATCTACTACTTTCATTGGGAACGAATCAGATGCCAGTTCATCATCTAAAAATACGAATAAATCATTGCAGCAAACAAACAACAATAAGCAAATATTATGCTTTTTTATAAAAAAAAAATCCTCAAATTATGATAAAATTAAGCAAATTACGATACCAATTACGATAAAATCACGCGAATTACGGTAAAAATTACGATAAAATTGTAAATTACGATGAAAATTTTGTTAAAAATTTGTTGGGTATTACGCTCCAATGCATCAAAAAATGATGCATTTTCGCTACCCCAAAAAAATACTTTTCCACATTATACTCGTCCAGTGAACACGATAAGCTTATTTTTGTGCAGCATAAAATGCTCGCCAAAAACTGGCTCACAATCAGCGCTGCTTATCAAAAAAGCTTGTTCACTGAACTTAAGGAATGTGGCGTGAACTCAGGAAACTGCTAATTTTGCGACCAAAATTTATGAACTGTTCCTAAAAATTGCTTATTGCACTAGAATTTGCGGGAAAAAAAGGGTAATTACTAAATGTTACATCTCAAAATTTCAGCTTTCTAGCTTTTTTGGTCTCGTGTCCATTACTTGGTGGTAATTTGGGCTTTTTTTGAAGGGTCCGCGTCCTTCGTTGGTCGTTGGAGCCACCAACTCAGCATAATTTAGACGAGGAACTGTACTTGGATTCTAAAACCCCTCGAAACAAAAAAAAAAATCGGTACTCACGCACAATTTCGTAACTCTTTCCCAGCAAGCTCGTAAACAAGTACATTTTGCGTGGCCGAGCCGAATTTTAAAAACTGCCTACAAAAACAACATAGCAAAACAGAATACCTGTAAATGCGTCTTTGAAGATCCTCATGATGGAGTGTGTTTGACAATTGGCGATTAATCTCTCAGCTGTTTGTTACCTGAAAACGGTAAATTAATAACAGAAATAGAAAAACTTACATGAAAATTTCACATCGTAAGACATGAACCCGTAGCCTGTATTGGTAGTTCAAATCCAAGTTAATAAATTAACAGTGGTAGAGTTCAGAAGGAAAAACGATGCTTGGCACATGTCAAAAATAATATTTCCCCTACAGACGATGGGTTTTTATAGGGCAATTTCCAATCTCTTAGGTCTATATTCGCTTTTATTCATAGCG